GTAATTATAAACAACAAAAGTTGATTAAATTGCAACACAAAGAAGTAGAGTAAAATAAAATGGTGGTAAAAAGACAATCTAAGTATTTATATTCTGACAAAATCCAATGAATCTATAAATGCTTTTATGATGTATTTGGATTAAAAGTTTAAGAACGTTGAATCTGAAGCCACAAGTAATTCTTGTCAGCATCTCTGGAGTCTTGAGAGTTGTCAGTGTCGGAGCTTCTGATTTGTTGCATTTTCTTAAGCCAAACATCCAAATCTTTCATCACACTAATATCTCAAGAGAGACATCAATCATTTTCTACCAAATATTAGTCTTTCACCATCCTTGAAAATAAGATATTGGAGAGAACTGTAGCAAAATCTGGCTTTCATATTGCCAGACCGCACCCCTGCCTTGGGAAAACGTAAAACCTAAGGAAAAATATATAAGTATTTTGGGAAAACATACCTCAGCTTAGTAGCCACCTTAGACTACAATCTAGGATTGTCTAAAGAAGAGTGACAAGTTCAAAATATTGTTCTAGAAAAGCACTGAAAGTTAAACACATATATATAATATTTCGCCAGATTTCTTTTTCAGAAAAACGATGAAAAAAGACTGCTTTTTCAGGAGAGACATCTCAGGACTGGGATCTGCAAAGAGGAAAATATAAAGGAAAAGTCTTATAATATAAATAGATATTGTTTCATTAGCAAGCCTATTCTCAATTTTTTTGTAGGTTTGTAAAATAACAGACAGAATGTTGAAGTTTAAATTGCGTGTGCTTTTCATATAAACGTCTTTAACCCAACTTACAACTTTTACTTTTACATTTTTCTCCTGTGAAAAAATGTAAACCGATCTGCCATATGTTCTCACCTGCTGCATGACACGCACACACGTCTCCAGACAGACACGCATGGGTGCCCCCACCGCACATTTACCACCTCAGAAATGCAGACGCGCATGTGCTCAGACACACATCTGTGAAGCAGACAAGTCCTGATTAATGTGCAGAGCAACTGAAAGTAGAAGGCTGAGCCTTTGATTTTCATATATGTGTGCGTTTCCATTACAAGGCCACCTACTCAGAGCTATTTATACAGTGTACTGCAAACATAATCCGCATAGCAGGAGAGGTAAGAGGTGGGACACGATTCTGGT